TGTTATAAAAATCATCACGCTTGGCCAGCAAACAAGTAACTTGTTTCTGCTTGTTCAAAACGTGCAACACAAAAGGCCAATTTATATAAGACAAAGAAATACCTATCACCTCTCAAGAGTTGAACATCAGCGGCTTTATAACAACAGAAATTACATGTTACCATACAAATGTATTAACATAACAAGAACTTATTGGAAGAACTAATCAGATTGGGTCGGGTAAATTCCTACTCCTTATTGGTTTCGAGTTCTTCGGAACTCATGACCGCATTTTACTGGCAGTCATGCACCTCTCGACGGAAGAACTATTCGCCTGTTTTCCTTTCACTACACACTGAGTGTATGTTACGACATGGACTGTGCCCAACAGTTCTATTTTTGAGTGTGCATTCGTTACCAAGGGAACGCGTTTACCGCGCCGCTACTTGTCAACGACCGTTTCTTCTGGCTCCACTAAGCCGGGTTATAAGGGGGTGGGGGGGACAGACACACAAGATCTTATAAGCCTACTTTTAATTTGTCAAGCTAAGGAAAGTGGGCTAAAATATTCCTCGTGAATATAAACCGACAAGGAAGAGGCTGTTATTGATTTCAGAGTTTGAAATGGCGCCATGTCACTGTTCCCCTTGTCCCCATCTACTTTTTGTAGAGGAGTGGGGGGCAGTCTATTGTATGTCCCTATGTGTGTGATGAATGCTTTAGAAACGTACAGTCCGGTGATACTGACAAGGAAACTGAGTAGCTAGGACGTATAGAATATGCATTAACTTCGCTATCAGTTCATGATTGTTTTGGGTCGCGTTTAGAGACACTATGTGAGCATCAGTGAACTAAATTTCACTGAATGTGCTGTCAACTACCTCGAATACAAGTGCCTTCGTGTGCCGTGTCTTCAGGCGAAGAAGTGTAGATCGGTACGCATTATGGAACTCGGTCTGGGACTCTCTGTTCTGTGTACACATACTTCATTTCTGCTTCAGGAAATCAGGCGTATACGTATGTGATTTATATAATTACCAATACTGCAATAAAAGCAGCGAAGTGGTTAACTTACTTCTTAAAGCCAGACCATGTTCACAACAGATGATAAATAACTCTCATTCGGTACAACGTCAGACTCGGCTTGAAGGCGTAGCGATGATGAGTTTATGTAATTTTGATGGACATTCTGCCATCTTTGACGCATATTACATGAGAACATTATTGATAATATGCTGACGTCAGAAAGAAAGAAATGAAGACTTTTAAACATTACCTCTGAAAATGAAGAATGCCAAAAATTTGAACAATAGGTTGATACTACTACTACTACTACTACTACTACTACTACTACTACTACTACTACTACTACTACTACTATTACTATTACTACTACTACTTCCGGACACAGTCCTGAAACAGTTCCATTCCCATCTGCCTTCAGTCCCTCTGAGCATAACTGTCTCATTTCCTCTCCTGTTTCAAGTGACCAAGACTGACAAACGTTTCTCTCTAAGATTCTAAAGCGTTTCTATTTCTAATCAGGGTCGACACCCTACTAGCTACATGTCCAGCCTTCACGAACGCCACACCTTTGGCTCAGTGCATTTACAACACCTACTGGCCTGCACAAGAAATGTAATATCCTAAACTCCCCACTTTCGCAATCCAATTTTGGTCCAGATATTGTCTCTTGACCTTCTTATTTAGAAACAGTTATAATTCATGTCCCTCCTTCAGAATAACGCTAAACAATTTTACTGGCAAAATTAATTATGTTTTGTGTCTTTAGATCGTCGCCTTCGGAGAAGAACGAAACAGCAATTTCGGAATTTAATATTCCTGCTTTCTTATAATTTCATTTTGCATCTCGTTTTGTTCTGTTAACATTGCTACCAGACACGTTTAACATTTTTTAACTTATATTTTAACTATTATTACATAATGATATCCTTTTACATACTTTGATTTTGTGACGTGATAATATATTTACTTACTAATTACACGCATATCTTTACATTTATACTATTTTAATTCCTTACATCCAAAACAATTTCTGCATTGTCATTTATGGCATCCACATTCTCATGGAACACAATACGGCCATCAGCTTATGAAAATGTCTCATTTAACACTGAATTCCGGTCATACCGGATTATTTTATTCATTCAAAGACTACATATTCTGGAGGAAAATTATTATGCAGCCCGACAAATTTCTTCCTCCTTTAGACCTTTATCTTTCTTCTTCAATGTCTCTTCCAGCCTCTTCAGGGCCCAGGCCTCTTATTTCAGTTCCGTAATCTTTTTTCACCGACGGTAGGACTCATCGGACAAGTGATCAGACCGTCGCAAGGCCGCTACATAACACAGGACAACATAAACACAGAATAAACGCATACACACAACACACATCCATGCCCTGAGTGGGATTCGAACCCACGATCCCAGCTTGAGAGAGTGAAGACAGACCATTACAGACTTAATATTCATCAGATAAAATATTATCTACACAAATCTACCAGGCATCTCATGCTGACACGTATTAATTTGCTCAATAAGATTTATGCATATTATGGATTCGATTAAATGTTGCGTGATGCTCCTATATTTACTCAATAATGGGTTCTTTTCAATATCTATAAAACTCTCACTTCTACTTACTTGAATGACGATGATAGGAGATTTAACCATTTATTGATTTTCAAGGATATTTAATCAGTGCTGACGCTCTATTTACGAAAGGGATACCGTTGTCAGAAGAAGGCCGAATACTCAATGAGCGGAAACGAAATAAACTAACAATTCTACCAGTAACAATGAAGTGCTGCTTGGGAAATTGAGACATATTAGATTAATGACGTAAATGCCCAGATTGTGGATTTCTTAAAGAAAACGTCTATTTATGATTAATGTTCTTCTATTTCATATTTTTTACGTATCTGACGTCAAACATTACATAAGTATGACATCTTCCCCCCCAAAAACACTGCTAATGTCAAAATAAGTTCTCAGTTTAAGTACTTACCCAGTGTGAGGGTTACCGTTTTCTTGACTGTGTAATTTGTTTCTGGTATCTTCAGTTCACACTCAAACTTAGTCGAATCTTCAAGGTCAGAGTCATTGACTATTACTGACGCCACAGCGTCGAATACTCCGTTCCTTGGAATCGTTTCAAATTGTATATCGTGTGTGCCAGGCCTAAACAAAGAAGAGAACAAGGGGTGAGTTTGTATTATGTAAACTTGAAGCACAGGGGTATGATGAATTGGATTCCGATGTCAAGGCACATTTTCTGGAAGGAGAGAACACACTTTACCTAATTATAGACAGTAATGAAAATAAGAATAACACAGTATCAAAGCAATATAATTGTGCTTGTTGTACTGTTATGTGGCTGGATGCCAGATTTTAGCTTCTACAAAGGAAAATTTAAAAGGCAAATGTAAGATTTAATGTAATGTAAGTATATTATTTTATATATAAAAGTAGTAGAATAAAATACAGATCTTTCAATACCAGTAACTCAGGAAGAATTTCAAGTTACTCTGAAAAGAGTCTTATGTGTATAAAAATCTATTAGAATATTATTTTCCAAAATAAAAATACCCGCGCTCGTAGTCTGCATTATATACGCGGTATCTACATTATAACAGACTTTTCTTCGTGTTGCATATATATATAACGTGCGTGCAAAATACTTACATAATTTCAGGCTACTTATAGGGATTTAATTCATATACATACAAGCTACTTACGGTTTACACCGTAAGTAGGTTCGTAATTGTTTGACTTGTTTTAAGAAATTCAAGTTTTTAAGGAACACGAATGTTCATTACCGTATTCACAAAATGTTTATCTAGTTAATAACATCACAGCACACGTCCACGCACATACATAAACATAACTTCTGTGTATGCAAATATGTATATGCGCGTATATACACATAAGGGCATTCTTGGCTTTTAATGCACTGATGATGTTGCTATAAGATAAAATCTATATCACTGAACAAGACAATTTAACATTTGGCATAAATATAATCCGAAGACTAAAGTTAACGTAAATAGGCAATACAATGCTGTAGGCCCAAAGATCTAAACTGTTTGCACAATTTCGCTAGCTTTTTTTATTTTAAAGTCCACGTCAGTATACGCACTAAATAATGGAAAGAACTTCGCTTTAGAATGTTGCGCTTGGAGAATATTTCATGAGTTTTGAATTTGATGTTGCAATGCACGTATTCCGAAAGTGACCAGGGAACCTGGAATAGTTTTAATGTCAAAGTCGGGGCTCTGAAGCTCTTACGTGAACATATATAAAACAGGTTCATGGGATTAGGGGAGGTAATTTCATTTTGAAGAATATATTCTGTATTTTTTCATGCATCATGGAATAATTTGAAATTACAGTTACATTTTTCCAGCACATAAAATTCCTATAGCAGTAAATGGCTCTGTTATAAATATACAGCAGACCTTACGTTGAACAAATCTGCGCATTGAAGCATTTCCTCAGTTCTCACAACTTCAGCATTTCAAGTAGGAGAACAAGATCTTCATTTACATAAGTGTCTTAATTGTTACGTATTGGCTCTGATCTGCTTCAAAATATCTACGTAGCTTCTTAAATTGTATAACAAAATAAAAAAGACAGTCCTGTATTTTGGTAATACTATTACTGTTAGTTTATGCTCTATTTCATATTCACGATTTCTATGACCTTTCGCAACAATGGGTGAGGGGGGTGGTCGCATTCATTTCGCCAAGTCCGTCCGTGTGTATGCACGAATCGGCTTAATTTTTTTTTAATTCGCTTAGTGGGTGGTGGAGTCCAACTGGGTCCACTTTGCATGGCGGCCACTGACTGGCCTATTGTAGCCTGCCCCAGGTGATTATGATGACGGAGAATTTGGTGGAATGAAGATTGGCACGGGAAACCGAAATACTCGGAGGAAACCCGCCCCAGGGCCACTTTGTCCACCACACATCCCACTTGAGCAGACCCGGGATCGGACCCGGACCGCCGCGGTGGGAAGCCAGCGCGGCCATAGCTTGCTTGCTTGCTTACTTACTTACTTACTTACTTACTTACTTACTTACTTATTCACTCACTCATGGAACTGAGTCCTTCTTGAGAAACCGCCAACTCCGCAGCTTCTCAAGAATTTCCCAGCATTTTATGGAACCCGAATGTTTATTACCATGTTCACAACAGCCCTCCACTGGTCCACATCCTGAGACAGATCAACCCAATACATACCATCCCATCCTATCTCTCTAAGATCCATTTTTATATTTTCTCCAACACCTAAGCCTTGGTCTTCAAAGTGGCTTTCCCACTAATATCCTCTATGCATTCCTCTTCGCTACCATTTGTGCTACTTGCCCTGTCCATCTCATCAATTATATTTAGCGAAGAATGCAAGTTATGAAGCTTCTCATTATGAAGTTTTCTCCAAACTTATGTCCCTCCATCTCTCTTCGATCCAAATATTCTCCTCTGCGCCCTCTTCTCAAACACCCTCGGTCTATGTTCCTCCCTTAATGTCAGAGACTAAGTTTCACACTCATACTGAACCACAGGAAAAACTATAGTTATGTTTATTCTATTTTTGTTGTCTTTGGACAGTAGATGAGAAGACAAAATATTCTGGATTGAATGGTAGCAAGCATTACCAGAATTCAATCGTCTCTTAATTTATTCTTGAATCAGGTCTTGATGTGTTATCGTCGTTCCAAAATATCTGAACAATGCCACATATTCAAAACTTCTGTTCCTATCTTTATGTCATGATTTTGCCGTGCATTTTGGTGACGAGACAGCAACATATACTTAGACGTCAGTATTGAAATAACTAAATAACTGATATTTATAAGCACCCGAATTAAAAACGGGAAGCATACGTTCAAACATGAACTAGGAACATTCATCATTTCATCCAGTTACGACTTCCGGTTTAGTAATGTGTAGGAAGTACGTAGCTTCACATAACCTATTTTCCAGTTTGTAAAATGCGACAGCATTTTCCACTACTTAGAATTTCTGCTCTGTTACTATATTCATTGCGCCCTAATGGATAAGAGTATATGCGTAAATTCTTATGCCTTTCACCCTTTAATTGTAAATAATGTTTCCTGCCAGGAAGGAAATTCCACCCCGAGGGATTCATATGGTGAGATTAACACAAAGTCCGTTGGCATTCAGAGAGTCTTTTAATCGTTCCTTTTCCTTAATATTATATTTTCCCGTTGATAAATGTATCCATAAAACATCTGTATTACAGAATCTTTAAACATGCCTACCCTCTGTACAACGTCTCCTAACCTGCAATTACAAACTACGGCTCTCTAGCAACAAAAGTAAATGTCACATAATACTGTACTAATCTTCTCAAAATCCAGTTTTATTCTTTAAGAAATGAGTAGCAATTCCACGATGATGATAACCGTATAAGGAATCAGTTTCATCCTTCAGCAATATGTAGTAGTAGTAGTAGTAGTAGTAGTAGTAGTAGTAGTAGAGATTAAAGTCAAATAAATCCACAATTGCGGTCAGGTACAATAAATGGAAGCCTGCTCCTTGTATCTTTCCACGTAGTACAGCTCAGTCATCAACACGCATCGAAACAGGTGTATCTCTTCTTAAAGGGGATGACGCAAATAAGCGGAGGTGTCTCACATAACCAGCAGAGCCACTCAGTTTCCATCAGATATTACATCTTGATTCAAACACTTCTTTTGTGGGCTTTCTTTCTTTAACAACCGACAGTTCCTTTGTTATACATACATGATTCAACAGTACTGAAACAAACACGGTAGCAGGGGTCATTTTAATACAAGTGACGTCAGTATTAAACATCCAGTAAGGTGGTTTTTACTTTCCCCTGTTATAGTTATATATCAGCAGAATTTCTCTTGACTGTATGTTTCCGCAGTAAAATATTTAATTATTACCAAGCGCGTAACATCCAGTTACAAGGTAGAGGAAATTGTTAAACATAAAAATTTCCTTCCTTAACGAGAAATGTTATTTATAAGACGGAAGGTATTACTCTACAGCCTCCGTCTTGCTTTCGTAGGGCAATATCGCCAAGTAGTTTCCTTGCAGAGATTCTGCATATATATTTTTAACGTTCTTGTGTTATATTCGTCCTGTACACGGCATAGCGACTGGTTACGGGCTGGATGACCGAGGTGTCGGAATTCGAGTCCCGGTAGGGTCAAGAAATTGTTCTTATCAGCGTCAAGACCGGCTCTGGAGTCCACCCAATCTCATATCCAATGGGTACCGGGGACTTTTTCTCGGGGATAAAGCAGCCGGCGCGTGAAGCTCACCACTTTTCTTCAACTATTGTCGACGTCAAGAAAACTTGGATCTATACATCCACTCCCCCATACGTCTTCATGGTGTAGTGCTTAATTAGTTAAGCACAGGGACAACTTCACCTTTTTTTACCTTAACTTACCACAGAGGGTGGAAATTACTCGTACAAAGCTCACATGATCTGAGCAGTCGTTGCTAGGCGACTTTTACGAGGCTACATAAGTTGACTGTGTTCAGCAGTAACCAACAATGAAAAGCGACCGAACTAGTTTTAGTTCTTCCAGGCAGTAATGTACTGTCATGAATATATTTCACTCGACGGACATTAGAGTAGATATTTCGATCTTGGATATTGTGTTAAATATTTGTGTAAGAGACACTGAATGGCGCTAACATTATTTACACCCGAAAAGTTCATCGGTGACCTAGTGTGTTCCTACAGAAAATATGACATCGGTTTGGGTGACTATCAACTGAACGAAAACTAGTATAAGAATTCATACAAAACCCTTACATTGAGAGGCGAGCTTATAGCATGTCTCAGGCTGACAAGCGAACTGGTTTAGGATATATTCGAAAAATACGTTAGACATTTACGTTCGCTTGCAGAATGCTCAGAAACTGTGGGAATTAATTACGTAACTTCCAGCCAAACAAACAAACCCCATGGCCTGTAGTCCGTAAGCGAACTATACCGACCGACCGACCGACCGAGCGAACGCCGCATGCCGGCGAAGTTAGTGCCAACTTTAGCGGATAGAGGGTGTCACGTGGTAAGCGCAGTGGATCCTCACGGATGTTAATCTCGGTTTTCTAGGCCGGAGAAGCTGTTTCCATGAAATAGCACTCAATTATCCTCACGAGGCTGAGTGGACCCAGTTCCAGATCCACTACTTCTCAGAAAACCTTGTAGTGCCGGGAATCGAACCCGGGACCTCTGGATCTTTAGTCAGGAACTCTGACCACTAGAGTACATATGTGAAAGTGAAGAAATTAACGAACCAGACCGAGACTTTCCTCTCTCAATAGCGCCTAGACCGGCTCTGGGGTCCAACCAATCTCCTACAAAATTGGTATCGGTTGCTCTTTCCGGGGGTAAAGCTGCCGGAGAGTGAAACTGAACGCTATCCTCCATCTAATGCCGAGGTGAAGAATGGTGGAAATATTATAACTCCACTCTCCCATACGTCTTCATGGCATGTTGCTTAATTCATTTAGCATAGGAACAACTTTACCATGTGATTTGGTTCATCCTGGTCCGTCACACTAGTAATATTATAAAAGGTTATCAGCTCCGTCCGGCGTGACTGATAAATGTTGTTATACTCTTGTTATACTGTATAACAACACAGTGCGGCCCGAACAACAGGACGACACTAAGCAGTCCTATTCATCAAACGACGGAACCACGACGCGGTAGACACTCAACTTCCTTTAAAGAGAGACAGTGTAAAGAGCACGAACCAAATCGGTTCTAGATTTTTACAACGTATTTTAAACTACACTTGTAAGAAAACTAATTGTAATAATTTATAAATATTTTAATATATTCATGCGCATCGCTATAGTTGTTAAAGAATCAGAGTTATATTCGTGGTATTGTAATGATATTGCCTGTATTGACATATCTTTCTGAAGATGGTTTCTCAGACCGAAACATGTTAAGTACGAAAGAATAAAAAGGATAATAGAACATTTATCAGTCACACTGGACGGAGTTGATAAACTTTTATAAATTTACTCATTACCAATGTTTTTTAACCCATTAGGGACCGGTAATATTTGAAACCAGGCCGCGCCACAGCTCAAGCGGTTAGTCGCTGTCTTCCCATCGCGGCTTCCCGGGTTCGATCCCGGGTGTGGTCAAGTGGGATTTGTGGTGGACAAAGTAGCGCTGGGGCAGGTTTTCTCCGAATACTTCGGTTTCACATGCCAATCTTCATTCCACCAATTGCTCCACACTCACCCTCACCTATCATCTGGTGCTGGTACAATAGGCCAGAAATGGCCGCAGTACAAGGGACTTAGTCCCACCCACTAGCGATAAAAAAATACATGAAACTAATGGTTCCCTCCATGGATTTTTTATGATTCGTTGCAACACAGTCTCATTAACATCAGAGATATTTCTTGCCTGTCTTCATGCCACGTAGGCTTATACAGAAACACTCGTACACGGTGCCATCACACAGGCCGAGATGCTCTCTCTACAGAACATTCGCGAACAAATTCTCGCATCAATTGGTGCAATGTAACTGATGCAAATAAGGGCCGGAGTCAGTGAACACTGCGTACAAGCTTACAACAAATGCATAATATGATGATTCTGAGTTGCGAGTGTTGGTTGCCTTGTTACACGTTATCTGTACACACACACACTAGGCATAAGTTATCTCACCGTGTACATTTGTCCATCTGTATATATGCCAAGTGTCCGCTAGCAGTAATTCTCCCGGATGCAGCTCAACGGATTTCGATAAAACTTGTTCGTGAAAATTTACACCAAAAGTTGCCTGGTCGATTTATTTTTGTAAGATTACCTTCGATCTTATCGCTGGTAGCAGCAAAATGGAAAATATGAACTAACAAATTTACCACGGGTTCAGAAACATATGCTGCCTCTAAGAGTACTTTCAAGTTCGAAAAGGAAAAAGTAAGCAACAAGAACACCTCATCAAATTTATGTTTTGGTTCATTACAATTTTACTAGAAGATCCTGATTACCTTTTAGGGATATCTTGTTGCATGAAAACCAGAAGGAAAAACACCACTAGGAATATACACCCGTGGGTGGGAGGATAATATTAAGATGGATCTTAGAAAAATAGGATGAGGTGGCGTGGATGGGATTCCTCTGGCTCAGGATATAAACCAGAGGAAGGGTCGTGCGTACACGGTAATGAACCTCCGGGTTCCATAAAATATTGGGAAACTGTTGAGCAGCTCTGCAACTGGAATCAGCTCCACTGAGTTAGTTGTTATTTTTTTTAACCTCGTTAGAATTAAGTTTATTGAGATGTGTGGCAGGCCATTCTACATAAACGGATCTTCGTCGCTGCACCTCGTTACTGCTGAGTGGACCTACTTGTAGCACCCTATTGTCACGTGTGACAAGAACTGTGGGCTACAGGTTTCATTGATTGGATTTAAGAGACCAGCCGTTGTAATGGAAAAAAAAATATGTACGTGTTGCCTATGAATCGATGTCTCTGACATAACCCCGGAGACATGTTTAAAAAGCCGTTACCTAGCAATGGACTTATGTGTTACGATACCTACATTTCAGCAGAACATGTTGATACATTCATGTCTCTGCTCACAAACTCTTCTTGTTAGAGATGTTTTAAAATTAGAAACGTGTCTCCGGGTTCCTTTCAATTTAAAGAAGCATTTACCGGCATGTTATTGCTATACTGAGCTGAATCATTCTTACGATGCTGTAGCTTGAAAATTCAATATATTTAGTCCTTTGGTGGAATCCGCAGGTTCATTACCGTGTTCAGAAGAGCCCGGCAATGAGCTCTGCTTTAATTCTTCTTGTGGCACGAATACAGATATATTCCAAACAATAAACTTTCTCTAGTTTGTACGAACTTACCGTTCCGTGCTGTGAATGGCCAGCTCGGGCTCCGGAAAAACGCCTTCAGCTTTGCATGTGATATTCACAGCTTTGTGTTCTTTCAGCTTGGTTTGCGTCAGTACCAAACTCTTCTCCGGGACTGAAAGAGAAATCACAGTGTTACTGGTTTCCGTAGCAACCTAAAGCCCTTCGTTAGAAGGCAGTAATCGCAAAATACCATTTCTTGCTTATTATAAAACTCGAAGGTTCATTAACGTGTTCACAATATTCCAGCACAGGATGGTATCCTGGCTCAAATGAATTCATCCCATATCGTTATATATATTCTTCTTGACTAACTGCAAAAGTATCCTACCATCCATAGTTAGTACTGCTTCCCTGCATATCAAGTTCACAGTCTCAATTTATGTACTTTTTATCTCGATTCGGACTGCAAATCCAGCCCATCTAAATTTTCTTGGGACCAGAAATTTCTGAATATGAAGAAAAAATTCTAACTATTAAACTTCTATGTTCTGTCCGTACAAATATTTAGTTCAATTTCCAATTTTGGCATGAAAACAGTTATAAGAGATATGTAACATGAATATTTCAATGTGACAGTATCTTCTTGGGCTGTCATTCCTGTCAATTCGGAACAAAATTCCGACGTTTTCATGACCATAACTGCCTACACCATCTCCGAATTTAAGAGGCCGATCGCCCTAGAATATCTTATTGCAATAAGACGTGTCTAAAATTTCTGTATTCTGGAATATAACGCCGTGTAGTCCGTTGAATGTCGACCCAAGTTTCAGAGGAACATGTTTCCTCCATCTTCAGAAACGAAAAATAAGCCAAATAATAAATCTTCATGAATCGGGTTCCTTACTTAGCTCATTTTTCAAACCTGAAGATGGAGGCGAAATGTTCCTCCGAAATGTATGCTGACCTTTATTTAACTGCAAAGATTGGCCGCACTATAGCTCAAGCAGTTAGTCGCTGGCATCCCACCGCAGCGGCCCGGGTTCGATCCCGGGTCTGGTCAAGTGGGATTTGTGATGGACAAAGTGGCGCTGGGGCAGGTTTTCTCCGAGTACTTCGGTTTCTCCTGCCAAACTTCATTCCACCAATTGCTCCACAATCACCCTCACCTATCATCTGGGGCTGGTACAATAGGCCAGTAATGGCCGCAGTACAAGGAACTTAGTCCCACTCCACTGACAATAAAAAAAAGAAACTGCAAGGGTTTATATTCCAGAAGACACTACTCTTCATATTCATTGCTGTGAGTGCTTCAGATCCTACACGAATAATGCTTTTCACGTCAAATAAATTGCGTATCTATTGTATTGTATTGGAGAGGGTGGGTTTCCCCATGCACTTAGACCAACTGTTGGTCTATTGTGCGTCCCCCTATGATATTCTACCTGTCTCTATTCCCTACCGGTACTGGTGCGTGCCATCAGTCCCGACTCAGCCAGCGAGTTCGGCCTCTACTGGCTCAGCGGTATCTGCCCGAGGCGTTGGGCGGGAAATGTCCTGAATTTGGCTCAGTGGTCCCCTTAGGACATGAGGTTCTTTTACGTGCCGTAAAGCTACGACACGGGACCCACGGCTTGAAGTCCCTCCCGGAGGACTTGTTCCCTGAATTTTTACGCCCTTAAAAATTCCACGACCTCCGCCGGGTTTGAACCCGCGTACCTTGAGTCATGAGGTGGGAACCTTACTCCTAGACTACGGAGGCAGCTAATTGCGTATCTAAGTTACACACAAAGAAGAATGGGACCTGACAGAAACTAGTTTCAGTCCAGGTATGAAGAGGCGTGTGACCCCGGCATGTTATGCTTTTTCCTTCACAGACTCAACACGTTCACATAGACAAGGGGAGGACTCCAAACAAGTTAACTGGATTTAAGTGGCATGCGAGAGTAAATATGTATCTAGAACTGCAACCAAAATATCTAGACATTCTAGACACACACTACACGAGAAAGGAAGCAGGAGATAATGTACTTACAGGACGTTTCAAGGGAGGAACATGCTATTAGGATAATCTCAAACTTTTTTCTTCTTTAAAAAGTGGTGGTGTTTGACTAAATATTGAGATAAGAACAACTCAGAATATGATACCGATTCTAAATTATTCTGACACTGGCGATACTCAGAATTACTGGGGTTTTGAACTTTGTCCATCGTCCAGTATTCTAGAAAACTGAAAACACGGTGTTTCGGAAACTTGACCTGTTTCCGTCCTCACGTGAGGGGGAGACACACCTATTCTGCTGAATCCCTTATAAAGAGCTAACCTCATACCACATTGATGCAGGTCTTTCTACTGGACCCACCTGTATACGTGCCTCCATCCCCTACTTAAGAACGGAAACAGACCAGTTTCCGAAACGTCATGTTTTCTAGTTTCTAGAATATCGGACGATAGCATGTAGTATGTTTAAACACATTCTGAATTAAGCCTTCAAGAAGGCCAGTGAATTGCAACTTTCGATATGCCTATAAAGTATTCGGCATTTTGAATTTGTTTCATTTTTTGGCGTAAGTTTTAAAATTGATATTCTTATCATGTACTATTCAGACATCATACGGTCTTATACTAGAACAGTTAAGTGACCTCGTCAAATTCGCGGCGCCTGAAGGGCCCACTACATTCTCAAACGTAGGAGATTCAATTTGGCATGACGCTATTAAGAGCTTCAGGGATATTAGAGTAGACATGAATGGTGATCTGAAATAGAAAATGTGGAAGAAATTGTGGTATACTTGCAGGTGCTACAACTAAATTTCCCTACTGTAAATAGAAGTAAGACGTTTAAATGATTTGGAACATGAGCATACACGAGATTATAGAAAGCTTGCAACATTCCGGTCGAATAATCTGGTAGGGAAACTCATCTTGCAGTGTTATGTGTAGGATTACCTTGGAAGGTAACATTAACT